TGTGGGCAGTGGAGGCGAGTGCGGTGGGTGTAGGTTGGTGCTCCAGGCACTGGTTCGCCAGTCTCTGTGCGATGGATTCGCAAGTGACCGACCAGGCCGATGTGTGAGGTGAAGGTGCGGTCACAGTGAGGGCAGGTGTAGTCCTGATCCTCATCAGTGGTATCGGGAGAGGTGGGAGAGGTGATATCGGTTGTTGTGTTGGGGTTGGTGATGTGTGAGACGGCAGTCTGAACGGCCGCCGCTGGGGCAGTGGAGGAGAAGGAGGAGGATGGAAGTGGTGATGCAGAAGGAGTGTCAGAGTTAGTTGGTGGCAGAGAGGGCGAGGAAGAGGCGGGCGGGGGGACGATGGCTGGAGCAGTTCGAGAGGTGCAGTTGGTTCGGAGATGTCCAACAAGTCCGATTCGTGCCCGGAATGTCCGTTGACATCGAGGACACGTTGGGAGCGGTTGTGCGGCGGCGTTGCGGACCGGGCGAAGTTGTGATTTGCGGGCTTCGCGTTTCGCTTTGGCGGCGGCGATTCGGTTGGCTTCATAGATAGCAGCGCCCGTCTTCACTGTTCTCCTCCATGTCGGACGATCGCGAGCGAGCTCTTCCCGGTTGGTCGGGTTGATTTGCAGGCGCTTCAGGGAGGACTTCAAGGTATCCTTGTAGCGGCGAATTTGGCCTCCTTGACGACGAGAACCCGTCGCGACGTCTCCGTAGAAGAGTCGTTTGGGAAGTCGCTCATCGTCCATGCGCACCAGGTGGCCGCTCCAGCGCAGCTGCATTTGTTTCAGTATGGCGTAGATGCTGAGGATTCCCGTTCGTTCCAGTACTTCCGTGTCGGGGATTCGATCCTGCCAGTTTAGCCTCAGGATGCGACGGAGACAGCTGAGGTGGAAGTGGTTTAGTCGGCGTGCCTGTCTCGTGTACACCGTCCATGTCTCTGCTCTGTACAGTAACGTCGGCAGGATGGCGGCCTTGTACATCTTCAGCTTCGTGCGCAGTTGGAGACCGTGGCGATTCCAAACTGTGCTTCGGAGGCGTCCGAAGGCTTGACTGGCTTTCGAGATCCTGTTGGCGACTTCGTCATCAATCTTGGTGTTGCGGGAGAGGGT